AAGTAATTATGCTCAATCTACAATACATTTTCTTTCTCTTATCAAAGGTGATATTGGTTTAAAAATACTTTTGGATTATATATGTTCAATTAATTTGACTTATCCTAAACATTATTTTGTATTTAATAAAGCTTTAGAAACTTTTAGAGTAAAGTTCATCAAACAAAATATTAGAAGGGTTTTGGGAAAACAGGAAGATTTAAAATCAAGAATTTCTTCTGTTCAATCTAAATGAAAAAGAATTAACTTATTATTAAATGAATATGTTAGTGATACATTTCTTGTATAAAATGATCTTAATATAAAATCAAGAAAAAAAGTAATGTGAAAATTAGATGAATTACAAATAGCTTGTATTAATCAAAATTTATCTGAAAACAATTTATTTAAGAGAACTTTACAAAATAATAAGCAGAATTTTAAAATACTTTTTGAATGCTATGATATTAGAAAGGAGAGAATAAATGATATTTATAAACAAGATATCGAAAAATTAAAAACTAGAATTACAATTAGATAGCAGAAATATAATATAGAAATTGACACTATTGCCTAACAAAGGAGAAAAAAATAAAAGTTAATGCTATTAGTTCTATTACACAATCAAGAAAATAGTAAAAGGGTCAAGAAACTGATATGATAAATAAACAGGCCGATGTATTTGCAAAAGTTAATCAGATTATAAAAACAACAAGTTCTATCCCGGAACTGGAAACTATTGGTATAGACTTTAGCAGACGGATAGAAGAAAGGATAAATGTAATTAATGAAAATGGTACTATTCTTAAAAAAATGCAAATAATCGATCAGTTTAAAGGCTATTCGGTAAATAGAAATTATATTTTTTATGAATTTTTCTTCGATACCTAATTTTTCTTATTTTATTTATTTTAAAGGAGAAAAATGGATTGAAAGAATTAAAAAATTTATACGATTCACGTATAAAGGATTCATGTCTTTCGTTGTCTATTACAAATAGCTTTTATTGCTTAATTATAGATACATACCAGTGTGATAAATTGTGGAAAACCGTTTTTGGAATCGGAAAATTTAAAAGAATTTCCAAAGTGCTTGAAAGTGAATTTATCACAATTAATTGTGAAGGTTTTTCGTCAAAATTTTCAACTAATAAAATTGTAAGTAAATACTAATATATATATATATATATATTATTCTAAAATTTCACACGAGTTCGTCAACCAAATTAGGATAAAAAAACCTCAATAATATCAATAACCATACTAAAATATGGATTAAAAACCTTGGTTAAATAAAGAATAAAAGGTTCTTATATCACGCGCTTTATTACAACTTGAACTTTCGATTAGATTTGCATTCGAATTCTAATTTCCAATTGATTTTACCATTTATTATCTTTATTTTAAATGCATTGTTAAAAGCGGGAGGAAGTGCAATTGATCATCTGATTTTGTCCAGTTAGCGAAATCCTTTGATCGACGATCACGTAATGTTTTTTACATAATATTTGATATAAATGGAAATATAGCGTCGTAAAACGTCATAATCAAAAAAAATTATAAAAAGGTCTGAAAAAAGTAAAAGAAAAAAAAAAAAAAAAAAAAAAATTTTAATATTTTTAATATTTATAATATATAAATGCCTACAATTCTTCCTCCAGAAATTCTTGAAGAAATATTTGAAAATTTAGATCATGACAAAACAGCATTACATTCAAGTCTTCTTGTCAACCGTTCTTGGTGTAGGAATGTCGTACCTATATTATGGAGACAACCTTTTAGATTATTGAATAAACCTTCTGTGAAGCTTGTTCAAACTTATATAATTAGCGTTTTGGATCGATCATCATCGGAAAATGTTCAACAAAAAATGTTAATTAAATGTATCAAAGATTTATCTCAACCATTCTTTAATTATCCAATATTTTTAAAGAATTTAAGAACGATAACGTTAACGCAAGGCATTAAGAGTTGGGTTCAAGGAATAGATATTCATTTTGATAATGAACTAGATGGAATATTTTTTAATAAAGTTCAAATTGTTTGTTATTTATATTCAATACTTATTAAAAGTTTTACATCTGTACAAACTATCCTTCATTGTTCTCTAGATCATTTTCCAACGTTACGTAAACACGTCAAATTTCTACCAGAATATCCAAAGTACTTGCGATCTTTACATATCGAAATTAAATATGATGATGATATTTTATCGTATTTAACTCAAATATGTTGTAATACCTTAGAAGAAATATGGATCGGTCCCTTAAACTCTGGTGTACATCTTAATGATTTGGCAAATTTGATTCGACTTCAAAGTTCATTAAAAGATTTTCGACTTTATGGACCACGATGTGAATGGCTTGTGGTTACAATTGAGATCATATCAGCTTTATCTACTCGACATCAAACTCTTCACACCATTAGATTTTCGGAGTGTAACTTTCCATGTCATAACCTTTTTGATTATTTGGGAGATTGTCAAAATTTAAAAAATTTAGAATTTCATAATTGTGATTTTCCTGAAGATCAAATTTCATGGTGTAATGTGAATTTTCCTAATTTGGAGATTCTTTCATTTGTTGGGGTGGTATATTTAGATGTGGAAAAAGTTGCAACAATTATCAAAAATAGTAAAAGGAATTTAACAAAAGTTTTCTTACCATGTATGACACCACAAGATGATTTAACAAGGTTCACAGAGATTCTGGTGAATTGTAAGGACGTTACATGTTTTGCATTTTGGGCTAATATAGATGCAGAATTAGATGTGGCTTTTTGCGCATTAGAATCTTTTAATAAGTTGGAATGTTTATCAATTGATAGCGAAGATGGTTTAATTCTTAATTCTGATCAACTTTACAAACTCGGAAAAGTTTTGACACCGACCTTGCGACATCTTGAACTTTGTGTTGATACGTCAGCAGAATCTTTTGAGCAATTCTTGTTAAATTTAACAGCACAACTTGAATCTTTAACACTATCATGGTGTCCTAATATAAGCGACGAACATATTAAAGTTATTATAAGATATGCGCGAAGAAATCCAAAGTTAAGATATGTGGCTTTGGATGATGATAGAAGTGCAAATCTGAGTAGTGTGATCCGTGATGAAGCTCTTCAAGTTATTCCTTCTTTTCGAATAGAAAGTATTGATTCTTGTGAAGTTATCAGGGCATGGTTTGATGATTCAATATATCTGTTAAACGAGTGAGCAATTATGACTTTAATGAAATCTTTTTTATTTTGTTCAAAAATGAATTTTGTAATGTAACCTTTGTCTTTTTTTTTTATTCGAACACAATATAGTAATCGTAGACAATATTTAGATGATGTAACAATTCATCTTGGAAATTGTGGGAGTATCTTTTAGTAAATTTGCCTTGAACATTTGATGCATAAAGAAAATTTTGTAAATTTTTGGAATGCGATAATATGAAAAGAATACGGAAGGTTTTTATTGTTTATTATAGTAATGATTAGACATTTTAATATATTATTATTATTATTATTTGGTAGTGGCAGGAAAAAAAAAAAAAAATTTTATAAAATTATTTATTATCTTATTCAAATTTTTTACCTTTTTTTAGTTGATAATTAACTGAATAAATTGAATAACTGACTTAGAGCTTGGAATTGATTATTTATTGGAAAAGAACTTTAGAATATTGTTGATTTCCACACATTCATGCTTTATTTCAATCAATAATTTGGGAAAATAAATTTGATATTTGAAAGTACTTTTCAATATTTAATTTATGATAAATTAAATTTCATTTACAAAATTTTTTTAACACCATAAATTAATATTAGAAGTAAGTGGATACAAATGAGATAATTTTCAATGTAAAAATCCGTGAATCCAGAAATTTTGAAGAAATTCCATTATCTAAAGCTGGCATCATGTAAAAAAATTTTGAACCTAAATGATGTAGAGAAAACTTAATTGAACTATTTTCGTATTTCCTTTTTTTTTTTAAAAAAAAAAAAAATTGTCGTATTTTTCATGTACAGAAATTGTTAATCTAAAAATACAAACTTTGACATTTATAAAACACGATTACCATAAAAATGGTTCACCATAACGAGAATTTTTACGCGTAATTCAAAACGAATTATCATTTAATCTTATTAAATTTCTTATTTTTTTTTTTTAAAAAAAAAATAAATTCCAAGGGTTTATAGAAAAATTTAACACCGATGATAAAAAATTTGAATGGTTACATTTAAGCTAATGTGATCGTACGTGCTCAAATAATAAATCTATGTAGTATTAGTATATAAGACGTGAATGTTGTGGAAACTGCCGGGAAATATCCCATACAGTGTATGGATTTAGCAGCTAATCATTTTTTACGAGAATTTAGGAAATTTTTTAAAGGTAGAAGATTAGATGAAAGACTTTTTTAAATAGACTATTAAAGATGCATTAAACTATGATATAAACATTCAAGAATATTCAGGAAAACGAAAAGCATCTACTAGTAAAAAGATTAAGCTGCGTAAAGAACTTTTAGATGTAGTAATGAATTTGTACCTACGACATGATAATCATTTTATCTAAAATTTTAATATTTTAATTGTATCACAGTAATTTCTTAAAATAATCTAACTAAATATATCAATATGAAAATTGAATATTCCATACTGGTACTATAACCATACATGTATGAAAAAAAAACAAATACGTAATTGATTGGGATACCATACATGATTTAATAAAACCTCAGCGATCTTTGGAACTTTTCTATTTGGCCCTGAAAGACTCTTCTGGATCTACTGCGCCATAAACCCCCGGATCCTTATCTGTTATGACAGAATGATGGTATCGCAGTTCAAATTCCGAAATCATACCTTGCTAAATTTAGATATTGTTTTTTGATTCGGGAAACAAAAAAGTAAATAATTAGATATAAAAATGGAAACCTAGTGTAATTTAATAACAGTCTGGTGACCCGCTGATCTATAAAACAAACTTGTATAAATTTGCGACCTATTCAATGATTTTATAATCAACAAACGATGATTATTAAAAAATCTAAAAAAAAATTTGAAAAATTATCTAATGAACGAATACATTATGGTGAATGCAACGATTGTAAACAAGATAATACCGGGATGGGATGGTGTAAAAGATGTGATCCGGAACGATCTTTAAGAGAAGGAAAGACAAGTGGCAATAAAGCAATAGATAAATTACTTAACGAACTGCAACACGAAGTAGAACATTACAATAAAAATATCGAATGGATACCGTCTGATAAGATCAAGATTATTAAACTTATTGGAGAAGGAGGTTTTGCCAATGTTTATGCTGGCAAATGGTTAGATGGAATTCCTATAGGATGCAAAGAAAAAAGACGATCTGAACCTATTATAGTTGCGCTTAAGGAACTTAAAACAAATGATATAAATGGATACATTAGTGAGGTAAGGATATTTTTTATTAAACCTTTTTAAAACTTAAGCATTAAAACAACTTTTAACTACAATTTATTTTTAGGTAAAAATACATCATAAGTGTTGTTCGGATTCGTATTTTTTAAGAATTTATGGGATAACGAAAAATCTTGGAACCAACAAATATATGATGGTCTCAGAATACGCTGAGCATGGAGATTTGAAAAGTTATTTTAAAAATTTTAAAAGTAAACACAATTTAAAATGGAAAGAAAAGTTATCTATGTTGGTAAATATTCTATATAATTTAAAGCATATCCATGAATTGGGTTTAATCCATAAAGATTTGCACTCTGGAAACATTCTTGTTTCTAATGGTCGATCATATATTTCTGACTTGGGATATTCACAATCAATTGATAATTCTACTCCATCAAATATAATTGGAGTGCTTCCTTATATAGCACCAGAAGTATTAATTAACAAACCATATACTTTTGCGAGCGATATCTATAGTTTTGGTATTATCATGGTAGAGATGTCAACTGAAAAACCCCCATTTGGAGAAATATCACATGATGTTCAACTTAATTTAGCTATTCGCGATGGTTCAAGACCAAGAGTTGCTAAAGGAACACCAAAATGTTATGATGATTTAGTGAATAGATGTCTTGATGCTAATCCTAAAAACAGGCCTTCTGCTGGTGAAGTACATGATGAAATTTGGTCATGGAGCGATAGTGAATCCGAAATTTACAAAGAATTTCTTAATGCTGATAAAACTCGACAAGAACATTCTCAAAAATCACAACATCCTCAAGCAATTTATACCTCTCGCATTTTACCTTATGCAAATCTTTCTACAAAAAGTACGTTATTTAAATTTATAATTTGACTCTTTCTGTTTTACTAAATTTTATATTTTCATCTATTTTAGTTCCGGAACAGGATTCAAAAATAAACGAATTGGATCTTGCTGATGAATGTTACAAATGGTATTTTTAAATATATATTTTATTTAGATAGATATAGATAGATTGATATTGATTTATTTATTTAAACACAGTTAAAAATAATTTTTTATTTTATTAGATCATAAAATACGGATGTATCGGATTAATTGAACCTAAAATTCTGAAGTTTATTTTTTATTTATATACTGTATACTACTAATATCAACTTTGTTGTACATTAATATTTATGTACCAATCATATTTAACATCGGGTGATTTAACAAATTAAAATTATTAACTTTGAAGATCTAATCAAAAATGTTTATTATGACGTCAAAATTATATCATGTAAATTTTTTGGTGGGAAAATTACAGGGCTTGCTGGGTGTTTCAGATTCAAATTAGAGTTTATTAATTTCATTTGATCGGAGGATCGTTCTTAATTTGTAACCAACCATTCGAAAACGGCAATAATACATGGTACAATGGCATAATTAAACATTTTACCTTCTCTTTTTTTTTTTTTCCTTATATTTTTAAAAAAAAAATAAAATAAAATAAAAACTTTCCAAGTATGCCTGAAGAAAGAAAATCTTCGATAGAATTATCTTCATTGCCAGATGAAACTTTATATGAAATTTTTCGATATATCAAAAAAGATTTACCTACGTTGTATTCATGCCTTCGAGTAAACAGATTATTTTGTAAGCATGTTATTCCATTTCTTTGGATGAATCCCATGCCAAATATTTACACGTCTGTAGAAATTGGGGTATATATTTATTTTTTCGATCAACGGGAGAAGTATGAATTAGAACAACATCATGGATTAAAACTTCAAGAAATTCCTTGCCCATTATTTAATTATGAGAAGCATTTAACAGTGCTTAATTTAAGGGGGATTAGACACGCGGTCTATTATTGGTTAAAGAATTATCATATTTCTAAAAATCCTTTCTTTGATGAATGCATCGATTTTAGCGAGAATTCTACCATCGACTTTATTGAAAGGGCGCTCCTAAAATTAATATTAAAAAATGCGAAAAAGATCAAACATTTAATCTTGGATTTATCTCGTAGATATGGAGATATACCGGATGTTGACATTTTCACTAATGAGGAATACCCCGGTATTAGAAATATATCAAAATTCTCATTCATTAATGATTCTGATAGAAATTTACCGAACGTTCAAAACCTTTTGGATGTTTTACCCACGTTATGTACGAGTATTGAAAAATTAAGGTTTCATGAATTAATCTTCTTAAATGGTGATTATGAATTAAAATTGGAAAATTTAATTAAGAATCAAAGAGGATTGATTTCATTCGATTTCACGAGAGGTTATATAAATGGTTCAAAATTCATCACGGCACTAAGGAACCAATCAGCTTCATTGAAAAGATTAGTGTTAAGTAGGAATACTTTTGATGAATTCACATATCGATCATTGGAACGTTTGGTTAAATTAGAATATCTTGAGATCGATGCGGCCTACCCTATCGAATTTATTTTAATCCCTTTGAGCAAGGCTAACTTAAAACTTAAATATTTCAAGGGTAGATTTATCGAAGAGGATTACGGTCTAAAGGAGTCGATTATCAAATCATCAAAGTTTACCTTGAAAGAATTATATTTATACGTTTATATTCCTATAATCGTGAATAGATCACCACTTCATGAGATATGTCCTAATTTAACCCATTTATCAATAGAATTATACATTCATGATAATATCTCGGAACATCATACGGTTTTCTTAAACTATATTAATAAGTTAAAAGAACTAACTCATATTTCAATTAAATTCTCATGTGCCTCAAATAATAATGTTTTAGATGATTTGGTTAATTTGGATTTACCTTCTTTAAAATTTATTTCTTATGAATTTGATGATTATTTTTTGAGATCGCTTAAAAGTTGGGTTGATCATTTCTCTACCCGTTTTAACAAAATCACCTTTTATTACTGTGAGAATCTAGAATTTGAACAAATAATCCTTTTGGGTGATTATGCTAAAAAGAGGGATTATCTTACCATAATCCCTTATGAATACGAAGACGGTTTTAAATTTGTAGCTATGAATCAATTAGATAGTTATTGATTTGTATCTTTTTTATTTGATAAATTGAATTTAACTGCAGAAGTACCAAACCAATGTTAGGATGTTTTAACATTCAAACCTTATGAATTGTTGAAAGATTCAAAAAATACAATTTTTTTCTTTCAATTTCAATTAATAAATGAAGATTCTCATTATCTTCGAAATTTCACGTTTTCATCGCAAGATGATAAATCCTTAACTAAATTTCAGGCATAAAAATGCTTTCGAAATGCAACTACTCACGTTCGCAGAAGATCTCGAGAACTTTCATGAGGTTCATTATATATACAATAACTCATCTGAACAAGATTACCTTGAGCCCGCACTATTACGTTTTCGGCCAACATTAGTTTTGATGATTAGAAAATAAATTCCTTAAAATAGTTTGAAATCATGTGAAAATTAACTGTCGTATTTTTATTTCAATTATATAATGATGGGAAATTATTAAGTGCCATTCGTGAACAAAATATATGCGAAAAATAATGGGCAAATGTGAATTTATAAAAATTTATTTTTGCCGGAGAATTCTTTGTTATGATATTATTCTAGCATAAGAAATAATTTCTCTAATATCATTTAAGAAATTTTCATGTGAAAGTGTCCCGATTGTAAATATATAAAAACTTTTGCTAAAAAAAAAAAAAGGTCTAAAGTCTCAGACAAATTCTAATAAATTAATGGCATTATAAAAAATGTTTTAGAGAACTAAAAATAAATGGATTCTTTTTACTCTGAATATTTGGTCCAGCAACAAATTTACAAAACGTACTTTTTAAATGTAGTCGCTTTTTTTTGTTATTATAATTTACATTTTGTTTATTTTGTTTGTTTTTCTTTTTAATAAAAGAACGTGCATTAGGAGTGTGATAGTTACACCATTTTTTTTTTCCTGACTGCATTGGAATGTTATTATACTTTTCAATAAAATAAATATCCAACCCTAATTCAAATAAATTTTTTTTTTTGCTAGTAAATAATATAAATATATTAAACCGATAAAAGTATTGATGGTTACTGTATATTTTGATGTGAATGATAATATATTTTTATTGTTTAATAAAACGCATATTTACTTTTAATTGCCAAAAATCGGGATTTTTGACTAATATACAATTAATTAGAATTTTGAAAATTCTCTTTGTTTTTAATGAACCGGCATGTAACTAAGAAGATAATTCAAATATAATTGTCGAAAGAAACGTCCAAAGGAGTTGTCATTGGATATTGAGGACGTAACTTGTTATATAAATTAGGTTGTTGTACATCAGGATATTGAGAACCTATTGGAAATGCGCCATAATATGGCTGCGGTGACCGTTGAGAATAAATATCTTGATTTAAATGATGCTGTGGTTGCACTTGATCGTAAATATTGACATTATCATAGTAATATTCTTGCGGTGTCGGCCAGTTAAACTGAACAATGTTTTCAGGTGGTACTTGCATGTTCCTTGAAGTTTGATTTGTAACGACTTGAGCATTCATTGGCCTTCGACTTGTGAAATTATTAGAGGTAATTTGTCCAGTAATTTTCATGGAATTCTCGTAATAATTTTGTTGTGGCGGTGGTCTTGGATATTGCCGAGGATATTTTGAAGGTGGATAATTTTGATAATATTGTTGTGGATATATTTGAGGTTGTTGATATTGTTTTGGATATAGCGGATATTGTTTTTGTTGCTGAGTTGGTTGTGGGGGTAGTTGCATATATTGATTTGGTGGAGTATGATGAATTTTTCCCGATGATTTTCTGTCAGGATTAACCGGAATTTGTCTGACGGGTATGTTGGGATTAAGAATAGGAGGAACTAGCAACGGTCTACCACGACCTCCAGGCCCAGGAATCTTTCTGCCTGAATTAACCGGAATCGGGATTTGTCTGTCGGGTATGTCAGGTATGTTAGGTATAGGGGGAGGATTTTGAGGGCCTTGCACCGGACTACCACGAACTCCAGACATCGAGGGTTTTCTGTCGGGATTAACCGGAATCGGAATTTGTCTGTCGGGTACGTCAGGCATGTCAGGTATAGGATTTTGAGGACTACCACGACTTCCAGAAACCGAAATTTTTCGTTCGGTCCTATGCGGTACCTGAAGTTGCTGCTTGTGTAAATCGGGTATAGGATTTTGAGGGCCTTGCGCTGGACTACCACGAGCTCCAGACGGATTTTGATTCGTAATTGAAGAGTTACGACCAACATTTTTTGGAGTAACGGGATAAGGTAAATCTTTACCACGTACTCTTTGACCTGATGTCGTAGTTGTACGTTTCTCTGAAGACTTCTTTCCATTATTATGTTGTGATGTATGCATGTGGTCCTTGCTTTCATCATCCGATTCTAGGTTACCTTGCTTCTTAAGATCCTGACTCATGTGATAATCTTGTGCTTTAGGGATCGGTCGTGATCTATCGGATATATCGTTAAATTGCTCTTCACTTGATTTATAATTAGCTTTATGTTCTGATTGTTCTTTTGGATATTTTTGTTTTCGTCCTTGCATTTGATATCTTTCAGTTTGATCTTCTCTTTGTTGAGTATATTCCTGTTCATTACCAATAGGTTGATTAGGGAACTCTTCTACCTGTTTGTATGAAGTGTTTGAACGTTTTAGATAAGGTGGTTGAGGTATAATTGAATCTTTTTCGGCGACATTATTGATTTGCTGTAAGGATGAAGGAAGTTCTGAAATATTTGAAAGATTCGAATTTTTATTAATTCGTTTCGAACCTCTTGTCCAAGGTAAATTGAAATTATTCATTTTATTCGAAACACGATTTGTAAGCTTGACACTATTTGATTTATTTTTAATTTTTTTCCGATCTGTAAGGAATTTATTTTTGCCATCGATCATTAGATCAGAACGTTGTTCAATCAAAATCCATTCCTTTTCTTCATGATTGCGTTCATTAATATGAATCGATTCAGTTGAATACCGACGACGTAAGGGCTTCTCTTTTCTTTCATTTGATGTTTCATTGAACTTGATTTTTGTTGAATCACCATCATTATTTGGTAAATTAAACTTACTCTTAAACTTATTCAAATCGTTATCAATTGATTCACGAAATTCTTTCTTCCTAAAATTATTCGGTTCAATTTGAATTTCATCTTCACTATTGAAATTAAAATTAAAGGTTTTATTTGATGCATCATTATTAAAATCCATTTCAGGAAGGGAAGGGCGTAATTTCGGCAGATCAAACCGGTCAATTTGTTTTTGACCCTCAAGTCGTTCCTCATCCATTACACTTTTCCCTTTTTCGATAATGGTAGAATTAAGGTTTATTTCTTCATCATCAAAAGCAAATAATAAATTTAACGCTTCCTCGGATAATATATTTAATCCTTTATTTTGTAAACCATCCCATTTAACTCTTGCAGTTCTTTTATCAGTGAAATAAATCCTTTTGCCCGTACCACCATTATTTATCCCACTTGATTGTTTATTGTCTAAACTAGAAATATTATCAATGGAATCAATGGCTTCGTCCAAATCTATGGTAATATCGGGTAAAGCATGTTCGCCAAAAATCACTTCTTCACCATTTTCACTAACGCTACTATTCGTCAAACATTTTTTCCTACGTTCGATATAGTCAGATAACAGTAAATGTAACCTTTCGGGTAATTCAATCGAGCACGCCTTTTCTCTAAGATAGGCCAAGAATAAATGAGTTAACGCGTTCGAATATTTTAACCAATCTTGATAAGCCAACTGAAAATTTTCATAAGTTTTCGATTGTAATTCATTAAAAATGTAAGGGGACATGGATTTTAGGATTCGTGTTGGATGCATGCGGTTGTTGTGAGAATTCTCCATTGTCATGGCAAATAAATCAAACAAATCTACGAGTATTCCTCGACTTAATCGTGAAAGGTTTGAAAGGAATTTATTAAAGCATCCCTCCTTTAAATCATATTGCCAATCTGTTTAGGATTGAAAATGATTTGTCAATCAATCAATTTAAATTACTGAACGGTTCAAGTCTCAGATAAGATTACCTACCTTGTTCGTATTTAGTAAATTGTAGATAACTTTCATAAGTAATGATTTCAAGCTCACAATTTCTTAATGCCACTCGTATGCCGGCGACTACATTATGTATATTTTGATATGATAATTCATTTTCGAATTCTCTACGATTGTCTTCCAAAAGACAACTGATAAGGTACCGGACCTCATCTTTTCCATCTCTAAATCGTAAAGGCTTGAAGATACCAAGTTCCGTCAATCCTTTATTTTTTTATTTTTTTTTTTTATTTTGCGTGTGGAAGGTAAGTTAGACGATTTCCCCTGTAACACAAACATTTTTACATTTTCTCGCTTTCACGCAGTAAATAAAGGTACTTTACCTCTTCTGGCTATTTCGCCTGCACATAGATGAACAATCATGTAAGTTTTACCTAAAGATAAAGGTTCAAATTCACGCTTTTGTTTCTTCTTTGTAGCGTAACTTTTTCTTGTCTTGTTACTATTTTTTTTATCGTCTACATTATCTAATTCATCCTTTCTATGTTGTGATCGTAGATTTGGATTGGATGTATTTTGGGATGGTTTTGTTCGAAACATCACAAGTTTTTTTTTAGTAATCAACCAGTATTTACGTTTTGAAAGAAATTAGAAATCTCAAAAAAAAAAAAATCTCTTTTTTTTCGATGATATAAATATTAATGTATTTGTGGCGGTTTTAAGATTACCAATCAAGAGATTGTTTCAATTAATACAACAAAAAAGGAATCGAAAATAAAAAGGAAAGTAAAAAGGAAAGAAGACGAAAAAAGAAAATCGATTTCTTTAATTCCTTCTAAAAATTCATAAAAAAAAAAGGAACAGGATCCTAATTTTTTTTTTTTTTTTTTTTTTTAACCGATGATTCCCAAATATTACCGGTTTCGTAATCATTATATATTGTGATTCGATCATCACACTCGGTTCTTGATAGGTTAATAATCTCTCGGAAAAGTAGTGAAAATTAAAAGTCCGAAAAGGAATGAGATGAAATTTAATAATTGTGAAACTATTTATAACATTGTGTTGGAAAAAGAAGTATGCGTAAAATAAATGTTAGAAAAAGACAATCATGTATGAACCATACATACGCATTGTAAAATAATAATATTAATATATAAAAATATACAAATGCGGTATTTCCTGCTACACAATATAATGTTTATTTGATCGGCATCATGGTTCCCATCATTTTGTCTAAAATCGAAACCATTGGGGGACAAGAAAAAATACAAGGGAAACAAAGGATTTTACTAAAAAAAAAAGTAAAGAATTAATCTTTGTTTAAAGCTGATTTGTTATTAGTTAGTCAAAAAGGTCGGATCTAAACCAAATTTCCTAGTTTATTTTTATTTTTAATTTACCGGTAAATGCTTTTTTTTTTTTAAAAATAGTCTTTTTTATTTTATTTCATTTAACTTTTTTTTAAAATGATTTGCATAACACAAATCTGGGCCATACCTATGTGCTGTAATCATGCTGTTTTGGTTGGGTTTGCTGCGCTCCATTGGTTTCCTTCATAAAGATTTTCCTTGTTTTTTTATTTATTTTAAAAAAAAAAGGTATTCATGCCCAAGTATGGTTTTATTTTTATATCGAAAATGTAATCTAATTAATTTGGACAAATTATCTGAAATTCATAAATTTATGTGTTTAATTAGAAATATGACGTTGTAGATGATGATGATTCAATAAACCATCATGCGACCTTATTACGATAGGATAATGTAGCTGTCAATTGTTTAGCGTAAAGAAAATAAAGTTTTATGTTTCAACTCGCACTTGTTCTTTAAACTTGTCTCATAGAAGTATGGATAACAAAGATCAGATCATTGCCATTAACATACAACAGGACCTGTAAACTGCGCGCTCCTTACAAACAAGCAAAAAGCAACCTGCATGTATTCCAATCAATCATTGAATTAGTGCACTTGAAGCTTAATCGTTTTTCATTATAAGCACGGATTAATACAATAAATATAAAGTATTTGTAACAAAAACATCAATTTCCGAGAACCCTACAAAGAACGCTCCTTTGTCACCTTTTTTTTTTAAGGTGGTTCAAGAATATAAAGGATTTTATTCATAAATAAAATTTAGTACAAGAATCAATTCGAGTTATTATTTTTATGATTATTATCATTTTTTTTTTAATCAGAATAATGAGGTAAATCAAGGGAAATCGAATGATGATGAGCTTTTTTCCAAACATAGCTTTATTACATACATATCTTTTCATGGTAATATTAAAGATTTAAACTTTCCAATATCCGCTTTGGACGATATGTTACATACATTACATACGGTACATGTGTATTAAACGTAACGTTTTTAACGGTTATACGCAGAACCATTTATAATTCAAAAATCCAATTTTAATGTGATTGCTTCCATAAAACAAGATAAGGGAACGAAACAAATTCTACATGTCGTAGGGATCGTCATTCAAAATTTTCCATAGGAATAAGTGGATTTTGACTGGATAAAAATCGCCGTGTAACATTAAACTGTCGCGACAAAGGTTTTTTCAAGGAGTGAGCTAGATGTAATATTTCGTTTCTTTATTTCACTTAAATTAATCTTCAGCTATTAAATGATCTTTATTAACGATAAATGCAATAAACATCCAAATTCAAATTCAAATTCAAAAAATAAAATATATCAAAAGTAAAATTATCGTTTTGTTGAAAATTGCTAATAATTTTTCTTCTAGGTTTTAATCGAAAAATATTTAGTATATTAAATAGATATTTTAATATTGTAATTAAATATAAAATTCATAACACAAACATACATATAAATTTTATGACAAAAAAAAAAAAAAAATGTAATCGGGAAAGATGAAGAGCAAACACCGTCAGAATGCATTTGACCACGTGAAGATTATATTTGCGATTTCGGCAATAATATGTGAGATTATGAGCATTGTCTTAGAACAATGTGTAACCTGACCTACTTTATATGGCGGTATTATTTATTGTTCAGTAAAAGGCTGAACCGCCACTAAATTCCAAAAGATCTGATAGATAATTTATTACTTTGAGAAAATATGTAAAGGAGGGTATATCGATCGATATGTAAAATATTACGTAATTTCTTATGACCGAATATTTGTTGTGAAGAATAATATCGATTGGTAGGTGGTGGAGAAATGGTTCACAAATTAATAGTGAAGGTTTACAAGTAAGAGTTTTCTTGATTCACGAGTGATTATAAAGAACATTTGCCATCTCACTAATAGTCCAAATACGGTTAATCAATAAGCATGAATGCGAGAGCAAATTTTTTTCTTACTTTTTTTAAAGAACAAGTAATAACTTTCATGTTTAAGATCGATTATGATGCATTACAACGTTTCAAGTTTGAAATTAACTAGTGGTTACTCGGAAAGTGCTCTCCACAACTTTAAAAAGTAAAATAAAATTCATGATTAGATGAAAATTACTAATTTAAGCTATGTTACACAAATGTTCTGATAATTTCTATCGTAGTTCTAATTTAGAAATAAAAAAATTTTTGGAAGGAATCCTTGGCAAAATTACATATATGTATTGGTACATGCATTCAATTCTTTTTTGAACATTTTGCATATCCAATTAAGTGTGAATGAAAATTAAAATTCGGTGGAAATAATTCCGGTCTAATTTAAAATGTTTATAAATGATTGTTGTTTTTAAGGACTCGAACAATATGTTTGTTATTAAATTTTAATTAGAATTTACAATCTTCTCATTTTCATAACATATCTCGTTCTATATTTGTCTTACAATTGGAATTGATAAACGCTATCATTGTTACAATCATTTATAGTAGGGTACCGTCGAAACGATAATATAATAATAAATCAATAACAATCGTTGAAATTTTGAAACGTAAAGGGTTTCAACTTTTGCCATTCATTAAATGAACTTTTTCTCGCAATTATATTTCCGGTGACCTTTTTTTAGTCGTTTAATTTGCAAAAACAATACTTCTAATTTTACTCGAATTAGATTTTCAATTTTATTTTTAGCATAAAGAAAAGATTGCCGAAAAGCTTGTGATATGTTTCTTGTCCTTTTTTTTTATTTTTTTTCGAATTTTTTTTTGACGATCATACCAACCAAGAATTTCAGTTTATGGTTAGGGTGATATCTAAATATGGTTTAAACCTTTCCAAAGTTTTTATAATTAATGCTTAATGCTTAAATGCTTAATTATTTTATTTAAATATGCTTAAATAATGATTTATGCTTTATGCTAGCGATCAGCTTTTTACGGATAACAGTTCAATATATAGTGATTTTTCTTCAAGTGATTAAAAAAAAAAAGAGACTAAATGTTTATGGTAATAAAAATCGTGACTTTTTTCGATTACTGTGATTTTATTTTTATCAGAAGAAAAAAAAAATATTTCTATTGTCGTCATACTTTTGGTGCATGAAAATATAAATTAGTTAAATTATCTTTTTTAGTTAATTAGTTAATTAGTTAAATAGTTAATTAAATAGTTAATAAAAACAATAAATGATTAAATAAAAAATTGTTTGTTATTATTTATTGTTGGCATAAGAAAAAGCTCGTAAAAAAGTATCTGAATGAGGATCTTTTTAATTGTTAAAAAAATAATCACTAAACAAATAACAAACAAATGATTAATAAAAAAAATACAAAAGAAAAATATTAGATTGTTCATTCTTGTATTTAATTAATTAAAAAAAAAAGTGTAAATAATTATATAAATGGAAAATGGAACTGATTTGAAAAAACTAAATATCTCCCTTCTTCCTCTAAACAATAATAAATAAACAAAAATCAATTAAAATGAAAAGAAAAAGGAAAAGATATCATGCCTGCAAAAATCTCATTGATTTATCTTGTCCACTCAGTTAATGAAAAAGACAGTACAAATTATATAATTAGAGAAGCTATCATATTTGCTTAAAAGAAGATAATACCTCAATAGAGTTAAAAGTTAAACAGCTTTATTTCTAAAAGCTTAGCTGTACCTAAATGGATCCCATTATACAATTCATAAAGCATTATAAATTAACTGAAAATTTTATATTAGAGAAAAATACCTATAATCCTACTTTACAAGTAAAACCTTCTTCTTATTTATTTTCACAAAAGGATTTTTTACCAATTATCACTTAAAAAAAGAAACTTATTAATTAGTCTGAAATGAAATATAGAACTATATACAATGAAAAAATGTTCTAGTATCTGCCTGCTCAATAATTAAATCAATGTTGATTAGCTTTATAATTGCATAAAATGTGAATTTTTTTAATTAAGATTATTCTAAACTTAATAACAGTTCCTATTTCCTTAGTTAATTACTTTAAATAATTAAATAAGATTATAGCAAATGCTGGTGATATTACAGGATTCATTAAGGATAAACTTCTATCAGATTCAGTCTTTGTATTTATTTACAGATTTTATTATAAAATAGATAATCTATAAGATAATTAAAATTAATGTTACTGAATATTTTAAAAATAATTATATAAGAAATAACTTTATTATTACTTATAGGTACTTAAAATTAAACAAAAGGATTGATAAAAAAGTGATTA